TACTTCCGAAAATGCAATACAGCCTCGGAGAGATGGAGCACTTCTTCCATGTTCCGCAATCGTTATAACTCTATCCGTGTCATTTGATTAATTGTAAAAAATTCCTAAAGACGTTTCTTTTTTGCATCACGAAGCATTTTCCACTTCAAGTAAGATAATTGAGAAAAATGAACATCAACTGTTATCACTGTGCAAAAATTACCCTATGAAGAGAAAAAATTCCTCCAAAACACCTTCGGACTTCGTAATAAAACGTTGCGTATGCTTTTGACCGACGATTGAACTATTTAACGAACGTGCAGCATTCCCTGAGATTCGTTTAAGGTCCTGTGATTTGTGTTAACGTCCCCAACACTGACTAATGTGAAAAACATAGAGATATGCACTTTGAGGCTAGGCATTACAAAGTGGCATGACGTCAAATACCGTTGGTCGATGTTCGCCGTCACGGACAATGTACCTAAGAAAATAACTGACTGGTGTTCATTTTCGATTTGAGAAAATATTTATGCATTCCATCTATTTCCTTCTGGCATATCTTAGTGATGCATATTTACTAATTGGTCAGGTCTGGCACAGTGGTTAAATGCGCCCTACAATACAATACACATGGCCTCGATCCCCTGCTCCAAGCTCACCAAGCTTTCCATCAATTCAGGATCGAGAAATTGATACCAGATCTGCCTGGGAGGATAGCAGCACTGGCTCGATACATCGGCAAGCCAACTCGAGTCAATATATAGGTCAGATATACATTTAATCACCTCTGAAGATGCCTAATTAAGTCGAATGCATAGCACATCTCTCAACAATTGATCAACGCCAAGATGCTTAACCTTATCTTATATCCTACATATCCTTTATTTATCCTTTATATTTACTTCTTATTCTTATTATTTAATTGGTTCGACGTCACATATTGTGCTGATCGCACTTCCTTCCGGGAAATATACACAAGCTTTGAAACCTCGTATATTTGAAAAAAATAAAAACTCCAACAAAATGCCAAAGCTATCAAAAAAATAATTGCCCTGCAACAGGTAACACTCCTAACGTAAACAACCATCAGAGGAATCAAGATATTCGCAAAGTGATTAATGCCGGTAAAATAAACTGAAGAAATTGGTGGTATTGATGACTTTAACATTAACGAAAGAATTTTTACGATAAAGAAGTCCCCAACAAAAACGCTCTTTTAGGAAATTTGGATTTGGATTAGGAAATTAAACACTAGTAAAATAATAATGAGACTTCGTTAACAACACATAGTTCTTTGGCCTTGGAAATAACATGTTGGGAAGAGTGGAGTCCTTCAATATTGGATCTGATATCGTATAACGACGAAAATCAGCTTGTTAAAGTTGACTTTCTTNCGATTTGAGAAAATATTTATGCATTCCATCTATTTCCTTCTGGCATATCTTAGTGATGCATATTTACTAATTGGTCAGGTCTGGCACAGTGGTTAAATGCGCTCTACAATACACATGACCTCGATCCCTTGCTCCAAGGTCACCAAGCTTTCCATCAATTCAGGATCGAGAAATTGATACCAGATCTGTCTGGGAGGATAGCAGCACTGGCTCGATACATCGGCAAGCCATCTCGAGTCAGTATATAGGTCAGATATACATTTAATCACCTCTGAAGATGCCTAATTAAGTCGAATGCATAGCACATCTCTCAACAATTGATCAACGCCAAGATACGTAACCTTATCTTATATCCTGCCTATCCTTTATTTATCCTTTATATTTACTTCTTATCCTTATTATTTAATTGGTTCGACGTCACATATTGTGCGGATCGTACTTCCTTCCGGGAAATATACACAAGCCTTGGAACCTCGTATATTTGAAAAAAATAAAAGCTCCAACAAAATGCCAAAGCTATCAAAAAAAATAATTGCCCTGAAACAGGTAACACTCCTATCGTAGACAACCATCAGAGGAATCAAGATATTCGCAAAGTGATTAATGCCGGTAAAATAAACTGAAGAAATTGGTGGTATTGATGACTTTAACATTAACGAAAGAATTTTTACGATAGAGAAGTCCTCAACAAAAACGCTCTTTTAGGAAATTTGGATTTGGATTAGGAAATTAAACACTAGTAAAATAATAATGAGACTTCGTTAACAACACATAGTTCTTTGGCCTTGGAAATAACATGTTGGGAAGAGTGGAGTCCTTCAATATTGGATCTGATATCGTATAACGACGAAAATCAGCTTGTTAAAGTTGACTTTCTTCTTTTACGCAGAATTAGATAAAAGTTGTAAAAGGGTTTTGTGGAGCAAAGCTCAATTCAGAACCACAATGTCCCTTCTGAGCTCTTCAGAGTAATGGACTGATAAAAAAAATAGGTAAGATGGGTGCTCTACTACGAGAAGCTTCATTGTCCAACAATAATAGTAATGGATGACAATCTGAATATTTGGCATTTCTATCGAACTGTACCTGAACATCCTCCTCCTCGGATTCGGCAATTTCCTCGAATGAGCACGTCATCGAGCGAATACGTTCGTCCCTACGGCTAAGAGGAGGTGGAAGCTTTTCGGTGTTAAATTTACGATATAGCTGGCACTGTCGTTGTGGGTTTGCTGTTGTCATCTGCAACAAGAAATTCTTACATTGAGAAAAAAAAAACCATTGCAATAACATATTCGATCCGATATGTCATGTATTACAATATCATAAGAGATGGAAAGTGACCAAAGACTAGGAGATGGATCGCATAACATAAAAGCCATTAAAATGAAATACAACAAAAATCGGACGAAATAAAAGACGCGGGAAACCTTAGTCCTAAGTATCGATGATGTATGTCAGAAACTTCACGCTTTTCTAAAGCAAAAGTCAAATTTTCAAGATCGAGTAAAAATAATAGTAACTAGAAAAGTAAAGTACTATCACTCGAGTTAAAAGGAAGAATAGAAGAGGTGTAAGAAGAAAAAATAGTACAAATGAAAACAGTAACGCCATTGAAGATGGAAATCTAAAAACCGGGTTAGATTTAAAACCGATATTCACTAAAACCAGTTACGTATTTGACTTTACACAAACTCAATTTCCTATAAGTGGCACTTCAACAAAGTAGAAAATTACTTTAGCGAAAACAAAAACAGAGAAAGACATCAGAGAATGAAAACAGTAAGAATGAATGGCGGAAGCGGAACGGCTACATAAACAGCACAACACCCTACGAACACAATGGGGATGATTGAATGGGTAGAATAACTTGACAGAAATAATAACATCGTTTCAAAACGTCAGCGTTGAAGAAATATGTCAATAATATCTACAAATTTCTAAACTTCATACAATAAGGGAGATGAAGAAGCAGACATCACCACAATGTTTTTTAAACGACTCAAGAAGATGAACAACTGTCGACCATCGGAGTCGGATCGTCGGCTCTGATGAGGATGAAGACGACGAAAAGTTAGCCGAATAAACACCGTTATCAATCTCGCGTTAGCTCAACAGTCCAAAAACGCAGCAAAGAGAACAGCTGAGGCGGTTCAGAAGAGCAGAGATTGCCAAGACAGACTTTCTGCTAACCTCGGCATTGATCAAATACTTGACTGTTTTCTTAACGAGCATACACGAGATTATAAACAACTAGATTTATTCAGATTGCCAAATTGCCATTGATTGCCACAAAAAAAACATGGCAAGAAATATGCCTATTAAATGGTTATAACACTATAAAAAAGTCCGAAGGCAAAAACCTCAATAATACACCACATATTACACCTACAAACATTGTCAATCACAACGGTGTCGAGCAGCAGGCAGGAGTCTCCACACATCCTAAGCAACAGCACGTCACATTTGCTTAGTTAGCTCCACCTGCTTTTAGGACAACACGAAGAGCATCACACTTTTCGTACTATGCCCTCCATTGTCATTTACTCTAGCGATGACGTATCCATGGATAACCAGTACTGGGTCAACTGTGGAAAATACGGAAGCATGAAATGACAAACAGCTAAATATGAACGGCAAAGTGCGACTGTTTTCGAATAGAAGCCGTCCGATTCGCTGACGTCGAACATAACGATTTTGTCTGAGTACACAGCTGTTCAACAATGAGATCATTTGACGCAAATACAGAAAGAAAATTAGTCTAAAAACGAAACACCGGTGTGTTATAGATCGGTGAAGCAATTACGGAATGAAGTTATAGGTTTTTGTCAAAAATCTCGGTATTACTGATCGCATTTAGAACGGCATGAAGAAAATGAGAAAAGCCGTAGAACATAAATTTAGCAAAACGTCCGAAGACTAACAGATTTCGAGATGCTTCTCTTAGTCTCATAATACTTGAAGAATGAGAGATGCTACGCTTTCGCGGTATTCATGAGTTCCCGCGAGGTTGTTAGAAAAGAGTTTCCTTTAGTTTAGTTTTTTAGATTAATTTACGAGCTCGTAACAACATCGTGTAAACTCATGAACACAATAAAAATATTGAACATTCATCTGCTTGTGTTAAATAAAAGTCGGTTTCCGAAAACATCTCAACGTGAGAGGTTTTACACAGAGAAACGATGAAACTAAAGCGAAACCACTGCTATGTCAGCCTTTGTGTCTTAGTCATCACTTGGACACTTGGATGGTCCGTCCTCGCTGGTTGTGCCAGCCCCAGGACAATTTCCATTTCTCGGCATTTTGTTGGTTTAGCCATCGTGGTTTCCCAGGGTCCCGAGGTCAGCCTGGCCAAAGTCTGCCCCAGGTCTTCAATACCACAGGCAGTCGCCGCACTTGTGAATCAGAGGAAGATTTGCTACCATGCGACTAGTTTGATACCAGAAAGGTGGTAAATCCTGGTATTGGTTCACTCCTAGCTAGGTTTCATGATGGAAACGCCGGACTCCATTCAGCTTAGGAGGCTCCTGCTGGTGGATGAATCGCCGCTGTACATCGCAGCCCAACATTAAGGAACACCTTCTAGCCACGATAAGACGGTTAACCGTTAAGAGACCTTAGTCATCAAAAATTCCACCTATAGTTAGAATTGGAAGCATTGCACCATATGAAATAACTATAGACTGGATAAAAATGGCATGAAAAAGGCGGAACGGGCGTGTCGTAAATTCAGTGAGGCGGTGAATCAGCGAACGCAATGAAATTTTTTGAAGGAAGATATCAAGAATGAAAGAACCTCCAAATGAGTGAAGAGCAGTGGAAATATCTTATTAAGGACTTGTATAAGAGACAATTCAATTATCAGAGCAATAAATCTAACCTAATGAAAGTAGAAAGCTTCCTCATAAACTAGTAATGGTGTGATGAGATACGGTAAGAAGATTTCTAGAATTCATCAGGACATTGATGCTCTCGTATAAATGTGTCGTTTTCTTGTTCAGCAATCGCGAGGTTTTTAAACAGCATACATTTACTTCCATAAAAACACAATACAATACATCGCTAGCTGACGTTTCGGCAGTATCGCCTTCTTCAGAGCCGCTTTTTCGTGACTTCCAATGAGGAAGTTTAGAACAGCTGATTATAGTCGCATGTGGTTGACGACTGCTCTCGAATAAACCGTGACGACGCCGCTCAACAACCATAAGGAGCGAGAGATAAATTCCACAACCTGGCCTAATCATCTCCAAAAAAGATCGCTGTTCGAACTGTTCGAATGCTTGTTGATAATTTTCTATGATGAGCCAGCGTTTTTGACTCCGCTGGAAGTATAAGTAGGTGAAGGAATGGTGAGTGATGATGAATCATATGGGAAATGTCTTAGGATTTGGCGATGACATCATATTGAACGAAAAGTTGACCACCTAGAGAGAATGTTCTCCAGTGATTGCTAATATTCTTCTGCTGCTGTTTCTGTTCATTCTGCTGTTCATGGGAAATAATACGATTTTGTGGAGAACTGCTTTGCTCAAATAAGGAAACAATACCAAACGATTAACACTTATCTACAAATCTGAAAGCACACCAAATACCTGCCTTTATGTAGAATTAAGGTGCAAAAGGAGAAAGCGGTCGGCATTAATCAATCCCTGAGGGATACGAAATGAGTCACAGAAGAAACTAAATGTATATCTGGGCTATACAATGACTTTCGATGGCCTAACAAACAGTTACAGTTAACAGTTTTAAAACAAAAAAAAAGATCGATAGAAATAACTGAGAGACAGGCGAAACGAAGGACCCGCATGGTGTGGTGGTGAACGCGTTACTCCCCGGAAAGGACAATAGCGCGTTCGTTCCCCACCATAGACACCTGCGGTCCAGAGTTTTGCAAATATCTCAGCAACGTTGTGGTTGTATTTCGCTTAGTAACCTGCCATGAAAACTATAGAGGGCAGAAAACAAAACGTTAAACATTCTAACAAACAGTGTTTTTATCCTACTACATCAGCCTGGCAACAATCTGTCAATGATGGATACAAACCAAGCACTCTGTGTATATTGCTGGACACCCTTAACCACTATGCTATATACACGACGTAACGTCTTACAGAAAAAGAAGCACACACACGCCAGCGAAGTATAGGAATTGAATTCAGGGAAAGTTTGAATAAAAAGCAGTTAGGTCATTATGTAATCGCAGAAGATTGCATGCTCCTAAGAAGTAACATCACATACAGCTTTGTTTTTATACAAATCGATCGTTCTAGTTTCACAAGTGCATTTCTTTTTCGACTGCAGGAAAGTTAGCTGAAATGAAACGCTTCGAAACGTAGAAAAGATTCATTCCTTGGTGCACAATCACTTTAGCAACTTGCAAAATATGTTGATTAATTAAATTCTTCAGCAAAAAAAACTACAGCAATCACTGTTTTTTCAGCAAAAAAGAGCAAAGGTGTCCGCTTATTCCCATACTGGATGACTGTTATTTGGGAACGCAGAAAATTCCTTCTACATTGTTATCTAAAAGATAGATTGTTTCCTTTGGCTACTTGGCTAGTTCGAGGCTGATTATTTCCTTTCTGCTGTTCTGCCACAGGAAACTTTCAATGCGGCTGCAATTCGATGCTGAAGATACCGAGTTTAAACCTCAAAAGTGGGTGATTAATCCAACATAATAGCAACACTAACAAGCTAATAGCACTATAACGAGATGTTATACACGCAAAGATAACAGAAAGAAAGAGAGAGAGAGAAAACGGCTAAATTGGCCATATGGGAGACTTCTGCAGTGAATTGATGTAGTAGTGTGAGGAATGGGAGATGTATGTCATACAAATATTATTCAGATGAGATGATTTACGAGCAAGCGGAAGCGAATCAGGCCCTCGATGGTATACGTAGCCAAAGCAATAGCAATAGTTACGTAGTGTTTCGCAATAAGCAGAACACATGACACTTTCGAAATTGCGTGTCGACGATGGTTGCAAAGTACATACAGACTCCTCACCGAACTACATCAAGAACCCGGTGGAAATTACAAGTGACGTGGTTTCGTAATAGATTAGATGAAACTAGATGGCATGGAACTATGAAGTGAGAAAATACGGAGCACTCTCTACAAAGTCTGGAATAGTCTTCACTTTCTCCAGCTCCCATAAAGCTCTAACGCGTTTAATGTGCAGCGAATTTGGAATGATGAGATGATATCATTTTCACGGACCCAAAAGAAACATTGCACT